ATGAGCGCATGAAACGGGAGGGAGGATTCGATGTTACAGATTATGCCGGAATGTTCATTCACCTGCCCAATGCATACATTGTGTAGGATGGTACACCATACAGCCAAGGCTTTACATAAAATGTCACTCAACAGCTAATAATTCTGCCAATCTAACTAAATTTTGCACTCATCTTGTTCAATTCCTTCCTCCCTCCCTCCCCCCCCCCCTTCCCCAAGATGGCGAGGTATTCAGTATGATCTGGTTCTGGTAAACGCTTGATAGTGGCGTTCAAGTAACTGAAGCCTTAGCAACGAAGTGCTTCTAACAGAGCAGCTTCTAAGTCAGTACTTCATTCAGAAGACGAAAGGAACATCAACAACACCAAAAGCTGACCATCAAGCGATGCAGCACTGGTCAGAAAAATCATGAAACGAAGAAAGAAAACGGCACGATTGTCAGCTACAAAAATGACGAATCAGCAGCAGCTGATTTAAAGGAAACTCACGATGTTGTTCACATCGGCCTCAAAACTCTGGCGCAGCTTTTGGCTGATTTTTTGTTCGGCAGCAGAAATAACACTCATATCTGCTGCTTTCACGGTGACAGTTCGTTCGACATGTACAGCCACATCGGAGTCGTATATCGATGAACCAGTACCGTACGGTGGCACCATACCATACGCATCACGTGCAAATGTCGGATCACTTAAATTATATCAATGTCTAAAGCTGCTCATCAACACCGGAATGTTTGAAAAGTGAATCTAGGACTTAACTTAGAAACCGTCGTCGAGAGTTCTCAACTCCTGGAGCGCATGTCTGTGATGTTTTTGTACACTTTTCGCATTTTAATTACTTTATCGTCGAGTTTTTCCTCGCCACTGATGGCAGCCCTCTCTATTTTTAGTACATCGAGATGAAACTGATGCTGTTATCATACTCTGGCGCAGTCTGATAAAACACACTGCACTCACAGGTTGGCCGTTCAAGAATATTAGTCATGAGTTTTTGTCACAATAAAAAAAAAACCCATGCACTAAGTGACAAAGAGTTGGATTACCAAAATGAGAAGGCTGCACCTAAATACCTATCTTTTTAACGTTCAGTCGCAGTTCTCTCAGGATTTTTTGATACCATACCCATCGTAAAACCTATCATGAGCAGTCCACTGTTTGAAAGCATGTGCTGAGGCAAAATAGTTGTCATTTTGTTTTACATATCTCCACTTTCCCCTTCTCCCCTTCCGCCACCAATACAGCCTCTTGCATCTCACTTTCTGGAAAAACGTCCAAGGGAGTAGTCTCGGCGTTAGTACACTGCCGGTAGCAACCACCGTTGGAAAGGTAGTGGAAGGCTCCGAAATAACTCGTAATTAAGAAGAAACAATTTCGGGTGCATGCATTTTAAGAAACCATCATAACATCACCCAGAAGAACAAATATTTGTGAGGAAAAATTTTAAGCACTCAATTTTTTAGAGAGCGACATTTCGATTTTTGTTATGGAAGAGTTTTCCCCACTTTCTGCATGCAAATGCCACAAGGGTGTAGAATTCCTCATGCGCAGTGGGCACTATTAGCACTGCAAACTTTTCCAGCTGCCTTCGCAACATTTGAGATAGCATATAAGCATTAACTTTGCAAATAAATCAGTATTGTCTAGCACTGAGCAGCAGCAACGCCCCCCATCTCCCTTCCCACCCTATCACATTTATGCCTGTGCTGCACCTTCAAACGTCACCGAAGTTGTGCTAAGCTAACTGCAGTAAATCACATTCCTGATGAGCAGCCATCTCAATTTCAGAAATGCTTTTCTTCATTTATCCTTCCATCTTCTCCAACCTTTCTTATAACCTAAGATAGCTAAGTGGACAGCAAAGCGAAGGAGAGGAGTAAATTAAGGTACTTACAGTCATAAGGTACAGCACCTACTTACCTAAGCACTCCTGGAACAAAAGGCAGCCAATCCTGAAAAACTCATATCGCCGACCACCAAAATACACCACTGCTGGCTTCTTCTTAACGCCTGCTAGTTTCGGCAGCTTTTACACTTTCACATCAACACACACGCGCCGTTGCACATAAGCATGTTCTGTTTCTTCATACTTATTAGTTTCAACAGTCTCTTAGATATTTACACCAACACAAGTATGCCGTTAGCACAATAAAATTGTGCAGTCTTTTTCAAGCGCTGGTTTAAAATGCCTTTCTTTTTTCCCATGCTTTTTTTTT